ACAGTCCGGTCCAGACCGGTTCAGACCGGCTGGACCGGTTCAGTCAGTTATTGTCAGCTTCAGTCCCGGTTCTCAATTTCAGTATCATTTTCAGTTAAATTTATGGGTCAAATTCAATTCAGTTAATTTATGTCAGTTCAGTTTCGTACTTAGCCGGTTTCAGTTACACCGAATAAGTCCGAATATCACATCAGGTTCAGTAGAGCATCTTAACATAATTAAACAGTTAAATTAACAGTCTGAGCATAGTCAATAGTAATTGTTTATATTATATTTCAGTTTGATCAGGCATCAACACTACCATTCAGTTTCAGCAGTTCGGGTGGGGACTCAGACTAAGTACTACAATGTTTATAATTACGCTACCATGTTCGAGGTATGTATATTCATAAACCGCTCGGAATGGTCGCCGGTCCATTGTGGGTTCTAGTGGCCTAATCTAACCACTAGAGTGTGCACATGGTCCGGTATTAGTTTGTGCCGGCAGATTGCGGTATTAGTTTGTGCCGACAGATTTCAGTTATCAGTTACATGACTTATGTCGCGAGATCAGACCGGTATCAGATATCAGTTTCAGATTCAGTTTCAGTTCAGTTATATATGCTTTGATCATGATATTGTTATTATTTACGATGTTTACATTAGTATGAGTTTCTGCGGAGCACAAGTGTTTTAGTGCTCACGCCCCCACGCATTTCATGTTTTTCAGGTCGCAGGGTCGGAGACGAGAAGTGAGCGGGCGGGCTGTTCAGGATATTTGTGATTTATGTATATATGTTTTGCCACACAGTTATATTCCGCTAAAATTTCCAGTAATTTCTTAGTGAATTACGTACTTACTTCAAAAATAATAAACCCGAGTTCCGAGAAAATATATCTTCGACTAAGACATTTACTGAGCAAGCGGAAGCACTTTTGAAAGAAGCTATTCAAGAAAAAATAAACCAGTTTCTACTTCAGGAACAAGCATAAAGAAATTGTTCACTTTTAGCTTCAAAAAGGAATCAAGCATCTCGGATTCAAATTATGCAAAAAGTCTTTCTTTCTATCGAAAAAAAATAGATGGAAAACAAATTGCGTCCAATAGGATTTGAACCTATACCCTTTTTGACAACTATTTGACAGGTATGAGCTATTTTTGTTTGATTTCATGCTAATTCACCTTTATTTAGCATATGATAAGATAATTATAACCATTGACCTATTTATGGTCTTAGCATTCACTAAAATTTGACTTAACAATGATGCAGTAGTCTTAAATTAATAAGGATAAATTGCAATTTTCGTCCCATTTTACAAAATTATAAAATGACAGGTGGATGAATAGTTGGTTACTAGTACAACACCCGTGTATTACACGGGTGCTTGTTAAAAAAATATTCTTAAATTTTAAAATTAATGACGTTTTTATTTATCAGTTTAAAATTTTAACGGTTTTCAGAAAAATCAAGTTTTTCACGGTAGCATCCCGAATCAGTTTTCGCAAAATAAGTATTTTATTTATTGATTCACAAAATTGCGAAAAATCGCGTACTCTGATAGTATTAAAAGTCGGGGTGTTACACATGGAACATTTATACTGGTAGTCAACCTTTTGACAATTGTATCTCTATACAACCTTCAAGATGTTTTTGCCTCACCTTTCCTTATATACCTCAATTTTATGACCGCATATATTACTCAGTGTCAAATCAAACCCATCAAACATTCATGATAACAGACCATCAGAGTGCCCCACGACTCATGGTCAACACAAAAAGGAATCTGTCTCACGAGTATCACTATACTTAGTAGGGATCACAACTTTCAACACAAAACCACCCCACGACTCATGGTCAGTGATAAAGCATCGTAGTATCTCATGTCGTCTACTTTTGATGGAAGGCCTGGATTAATAAGTTCCAACTTATTCTTATCCATTACTGATTTGATATGAATTAATCAAATTAATTCTTTAGGTTTTCCTTGATCTCATCGTTTACCATCTTTACGTGTGTTTATTTACCGTATTTTCCATCGCATGAAATCAACGCATAAATAAACCTAACATACATCTAATGCATGCACACGGTGGATGATCATGATCTTGTCTATGCGATCCATTCGAGCCAAAGCGGATCTATGCCTATGTACGTGATAAAATAAATAAATAGAACTACTTCTATTACAATTTATTTTATCTACCCGTACAAGCACATGCCTTCGAGTTTTATAACTTGTAAAATTACCCACACAAGTGTGGGCCTTTTGTATCGAACGGTCTCCACCTAGATCTAATCTCTAACGATACAAGATTTTAAAATTTTACAAATCATAACTCAAGAGACTCGCAGGTCTCGATAAATTACATTCATTCAATCTTATTGAAAAATTAAACCATTCAATCATATTGAATTAAAAGACAACCATTCAATCACATTGAATAATAAAATATACATTCAATCATATGAATATGAGGCTCATGATCAACCCACTCATCACATGAATTAAAACATAATAAAAAAAAAAAATTATTAAGTCACACGACTCGTGTGAAAAACCCGTAAGAAAAAATCAAATTTTTCCTTAAGTCACACGACCCGTGTGGCTCAAGACACGGGTCGTGTGTCTCCACACGACTCGTGTGACTATGTCACACGACTCGTGTGAAAATCACGAACCAAAAACAAGTTTTTCTTTATACTCACACGACCTGTGTGGCTCATAAACACGGCTCGTGTGAGTCCACACGACCCGTGTGACTTAGTCACACGAACCGTGTGGCTAAAAATTGAATTTTTATTTATTTTGATAATTAATATGTTTATCATATAAACATTTAATTATCATATAAACTTAAACAAATCAAAATCTATTTTTAAATATGATAACCGTGTCTCTGATACCACTGTTGGGTTCACCTATACCGTACGGGCTATACGCAGCGGAATTTAAAATTTTCTAAAACAAGTATTTAACACTTAAATACTTAACCCGTATATACATATGGCGAATTAACAAATCGTCATCTTTAAAAACATGTAATAATACAAATTTTGATTTGTTACAAGTAATATCAAATATTACCTAATATGTCTTGAATTCCTTCAAAGACGACGGTAGTTGAGGAAATCAGTTCCCGGTTGAACACCGATCGTTTCGAGTTGCTCGCTTTATGAATCAACGTGTCTTCCCTCTAAGAGTATCCACCGCTTGTATTCCAACACCGAGATGATCCTTCGCTAGTAGGAACTCACTCGATTTTATAACTTAGTATAGGAATATATATTATGAGGAGAAAATTACAAGAACTTTTCTCAATATTACAACACTTGAAAAACCAGCTCTTTATCTCTCAATACTTTGTAAAATTGTTAACACAAATTGTAGCAAATATGAACATTAACCATGCTCATATTTATACTAAATTTATAGTAATAAAATATATATATGTCTTGTATAACTTTTACACGAAATGATAAATAAATTCAACCATAACAATTTATGACTTGAATAATTTTCACAAGACATGTTAAAATATCTTGTATCATTTCTACAAGTTATTACAACAATATAATAATGTGCAAGATCCTATCTTTCTCATTATTATATTATTATTATTATTTAATTCTTAATCAATATTAAAAATCAATAATAACAATAAACAGATAATTTTAAACATATTTTAAAATCATTTGTAAACATATATATATCATATTAATATTCTCCTCATATAATAATCATATTATTATTTAGATTTGAATTTTAAAATCCTATTTTAAATGCAACTATTAATTTAGTAATTACATTAATCACTAAATTAATATACAAAATATAATTAATCAATCCAATTGATTAATTTAATATATTTCTTTAATTGACATCTAATCAAAATTAGATTTTGTCAATTAATTCTAACTCTTTAGAAATACTAATATTGGTCTTCATACAAACATTGGTGTGACCTTTTAGGTTCACAATTAATACTAGTAGTGGGTTTACAACTCTTTGTAAATTGAGTTAATCATATTAACTCTTATTCTTGAATTAACCCCTTAATTCAAGAACCCACATATCATGGGAACACCTAGCAAGTAGCATGAATCTAGTATTACGTGAATAGCGAGTAAACCTATTTCGATTACAAGTCCATACATGTAAAATCCTTTCGACATCCAATTTCCCGATTAAATCTTGGGTATGATATTGTCGAAACCCAAATTGATTTAATAACTATGATTCCATTTCAAGTTTAGTAATTCGTGTATGAATCTCTATTCATCCTGTCTTGGCCAAGGACTTTTAATTACCAACTATGGAACACATAGGAAATTCATTTATCTTCATAAGTGTCGAATCCTTTGTTGGCCACTGACAAACTTCCATACATATTAATGTAATACCCAAAATATCCCTTTATACGATTGTCCTAGCAACCAAAAGGATAAATCAAAGTAGAACACAATATGCACAAAGTTACCATCGTGCCTCAAGTCTAAGGATTAGTCATGTACTATTGTAACATGAAAATACTTATTCGACAAGTCAAATCTTTCATTAAGAATTTTCATACGGTCATGTTCAGTGAACTTGTTCTCTAACAAGCACTCACATATATGTACTTGCGTCCCACGCTAATGTTGATGGAATGCAACATTCTTATCCAACAAGCGTACATACTATGTGCAAGTCTTTTTTTCGGATTATTCGATATCCCATCTCAAAACATCCAACGACTTGGAACTGTATTTAAAATCACAACTTTCAAGGTATGTTCCATGATCACCATCTCTATGCGCAACCATACCTTATAGCCATAAGTGATTTAGGGATTTTATCTTAAGTGCGATTATAGGATAAAAGCTTACTCTTAAGATAAAGTAATTCCTTATTTACAATATAATTCCAATAGATAGTATTTACAAGTAGAATACGTCCAATCCGATTGGAATGCCGGGTATCCTACTCTAACACGTCGGGGGTCACGCGGCGCTTCGTGGGGGAGAGGGCTACAAAGACTACTAGGATTGCGTTGTGCGCATTGGGATGAGGGTTTCACCGGCTTCAGGGGTTGTGAGGTGCGATGTGAAAATGACGGCTTTGACGAGTTCGGTGGCCGCGATTTGCGTCAGCTGGGACGGTGTTCGACGGCTCGGTATGGCATTTGGGAGGGTCACGCCCATTGTTCACTGAGGAGGTCGACGACTCTGACGCGGGCAATTTCTACAACGATTAATTGGGTTTTGTTGTGGTGGCCCGGGAGATGAAGGAACATCTTTGCGGGGACATGGGTCTTGCCCTCGTCATTTGTCGTCCATGTTTGTTGCCACGTGTGTCGTGGAATGTAGCAGAGTATGTTTAATGGTCATCTTCTAATAAAGAACTTATTGTATTTTATGTTACACAAAATGTGTTTTGAATTACAACGGGAACCTATGAACTGACTGAAGTGTTCAGTTCGTACAAGAAGAACTAAAACAAAATAAAAATTACAACTCAAAAGCGGACAGATTGAAAGTCGAGGCGATTGAAATCTTTCCGCAAGACAAATACGCCCCATATAGTGCTGACAGGTCTTTGCGTAATGTCCCCAAAGATACAATGGCAATACACTCGGAAGCTGTAGCACACCAGCCTTGAGAGTTCGAGCGAACGGATTCGAAGACGAGAACTGAGCACTATGATATGATGCGTGAGGCTATAAGAGTATTCAGATTGCATGAAAATGTTGTGTACTTTTCTCTGCAGCTCTATGTCCTATTTATAGGACTTCCACATCTTGAGGGAAACCAACAGTCACATCTGCCACTTAAGGCAGAGATAATGAGCCAAAAAAAGGTTTCTGGTGTTACTATACCATTAACCAGGTGTTACTACACCATTAACCAGGTGTTAAGACCATTAACCAGCCATTAACATTCCACCTGAACAGTCAGGTGTCCAGGTTCATAGTACCTTGAGAGGTCTTAACAGTCACATCTGCCACTTAAGGCAGAGATAATGAGCCAAAAAACCAACAGTCACATCTGCCACTTAAGGCAGAGATAATGATCCAAAAAAACGTTTCTGGTGTTACTATACCATTAACCAGGTGTTACTACACCATTAACCAGGTGTTAAGACCATTAACCAGCCATTAACATTCCACCTGAACAGTCAGGTGTCCAGGTTCATAGTACCTGGAGAGGTCTTAACAGTCACATCTGCAACTTAAAGCAGAGATAATGAGCCAAAAAACCAACAGTCACATCTGCCACTTAAGGCAGAGATAATGATCCAAAAAAATGTTTCTGGTGTTACTATACCATTAACCAGGTATTACTACACCATTAACCAGGTGTTAAGACCATTAACCAACCATTAACATTCCACCTGAACAGTCAGGTGTCCAGGTTCATTGTACCTGGAGAGGTCTCACTCGGGTTGGGTCAGAACCCGAGTCCAAATCCAACTAGAATTGGATTTTTCAGTTGGGCCTAAAGTTGCAAATAAATTTGCAGCAAAAAGATATATAGTGATTGGGCCCAAGGCCCAAGGCCGCCCAAGTCCAGCCCATAGTCCAATTGCCAAGAACCAAGAACCAAGGCCCAAGGCCCAAGTCCCAGGCCCAGGCCGGGCCTGTGCCCGTGCCCGAGCCCGTGCCGGAGCCAGCTGACCGGCCGACCGGCGGGCACGCGTGTGGCCGAAAACAACACCAACACTTGGTGCATAGCTTTGTGCTTGTTGTAACCTCTCCAACTCTCTTTATTATAATAAAGAGAGTTAAACTCATTTAAGAGTCCAATGTGGGAGTGACTCTTGACCTTTCAAATCCCACAACCAACGTTTTACGTGCCCTTTTATGGCTAACTTTAACAATTTATTTCACACTCACCGAAAATCAGTTTTGAGAAAATAAATATACCACGAGTATCTACTCGGAACGTAGAATTTTTCTACAATATTTAATTCAACTCAAATTAAAAATTTAGCCATAAAAAATTCAGTCAAAACCGGGTCAAACCCAAGTTTTATAACTGATTTTTCCAACATTTTATGGATTTATGCCTGCCCTGGCGACGATATTTGACAAGAAGTCCAATCCTTTACTAGAGCTTGGAACAAGCCCATACAATACAATAGGGGAGAATTTGAAAGGGACATTTACATGTTTGGAAAACTTTGGAAATTTACCTGGTGACATGTCATTCTGGGATTATTTGGCGATGAAGAAATTAGGAGAAGCAAATGTTGAACTAGACGGACCATATTTTATGACTGCCTCCACAACTCCAAGACTACATGCTGGCAATGGGATCGTAATATTCTTTCACAATAGCTCAACTTTAATGAATCTATTTCACGGTAGCTCATGGGTCCGGTGTTGCCGGTTGTAGACGAGATTGTACCGGATTCGAGGGCGAATTCTTTTAGAAAGGAGAGAAAGATGGAGACGAGATATCGTCTAGCATCATTGATTTAGGATATATATTTATTTCCATTTAGCTTTATTATTATTCATTTATGTTTAGTATATAATTAGTAAGAGAATAATTATTTACTAGTACAGAGCCCGTGCGATGCACGGGGTGCACAATTTTAAGGTTATTTATTCAACATTATAATTATATAAATGAATAAAGAAAAATGTACAGGATATATATAGTACGTGACCTGTGGGAGTCACAAAATATATTTATATGGGGAATATTATATTATAAGATGTAATATTCAGTAAAAGTTTTATAATACGCAGGAAAATTGTACAATAAAATACTATTCGACAAATATACAATCATATATTATTAAAGACCTCATTGTACACAACATTATGAGTTCGATTATTGGGCAAGTCGTCATCCTCAGAAACTAATATCTTCAACCCCATCTATTAGTTACCCGCGCAACAACATCATATAATTGGCCATCACTAAAGACATGTTTCTTTAGAAAAAGACCAACGTGTGATAAAGACTGTCCTTGACTCTTGTTTATGGTCATGGCATATGAAACCATAAGTGGGAACTGCCGCCACTGGAACTTAAATGGAACCCTAAGATCAGAAGAAGTTCATTCTAGGAATCAACACTTTTTTGCCAACATGATCACCCGTCAATATCTTGCATTCGAGCACATGAGTGGAGAGTTTGGTCACAACCAACCGTGTCCCATTGTAGAGTCCCATAGAATGGTCCATGTTCTGCAACAACATGAATGGAGTTCCTATATTTAAATGAACCTCATGTTTCGATGTTCCCGAACACTTGATGCTATTAAAGAACTCAGGCGTGTGGAGATCTGCCAAGAAGTCGTTGTCGAAATCAGACTTAGAAGCACTGTCAGAACTCAAATACGTGTGAACGTCAGCTGAATTCATCTCCGACATGTACTGACTGATACACTCAACAACCTCTAATGATGGTGCTAAAATAACCTTGTCCTTCAAATAACTTGGATCTTCAGTTGAATTCTTAAACATTGGATAGATACTTTCCATAATTGTAGCAACTGGATCATCAGAGGGATCAAGTATAATATCATCTAGTATATCAATGGAGGCACAACCGTCATTTGATCCTCCTAAAGTACCATCTCTGATGCTAGCAATCCAATCAACAAATGATGCTAGCTCGTCACGCTCGTCCGAGTCAGAAATATTTTGAAGAAGCATATATTTTGTAAGTCGAAGCACAATACTGTCCTTCCAAATGCTAGAAGTATTAATAATTGCATTAACAATATCTTGGTGACTGCCCTTTGGAATGACTGGAAGGATTTGTCGGAAGTCTCCACCAAACACGATAGTCTTGCCTCCGAAGGGCTTGTTACTGTTAGAAGGGTCGACTGCTCCCATGACAGCCTGCACTGATGTTTGAACAACTTCAAGAAATGTTTTTTTTATCATTGGAGCCTCGTCCCATATGATGAGAGAGCATCATATTATTAATTCTGCAAGAGGACTTGCCTGGTTGATATCGCATGAAGAATTTTAATGAATATTCAGCGGAATGCGAAATTGAGAATGTACAGTTCTTCCACTAGGCAACAAAAGCGATGTTATTCAACTCGACGCCACAGAAAGAACAATTTGACCTTTGGATCATAAAGCAACAAATAACGTCCTCAACAAGTACGCTTTTCCAGTCCCACCATAATCGTATACAAAGAATACGCCACCGGTACCCGATTCCACAGCAACCATAATTTTTGAATAGACCCATTTCTGTTCGTCAGTCATTCTTTGAAGAAGGGTTGTGTGCTCCAAAAATATGGCCTTCCTATCGTAATTATGCTCATCCAATATAAGGCGGTTTGATGTTGTATGAAGACTATCTATGTGTGGATAAGGCATGGAAGAATATTAACGAAGACTTGAGCCACATCTTCGCAACATATTTTCAATTTCAGCAAGGGTTAGATTCTTTATAACAACATCACTGAGCTGCAAATCTATACATTAACACATTCAATAAATCTTGTAAGGATTAAAATTAAATAAAGCATATTATTAAAGAATAACAAATATATCAAAGAAATCACAAATTAAAGTAAAATATATATATATATATATATATATATATATATATATATATATATAGAAAAGAATTTAAAAAATATCATCATTATTAAACAATCGCCGCTGTCTGTAGAGAATGTCATCTGATAATAATTGTCAACACCGTTCTCAAACATAATCAGGTCGACCCAAACACCCAGAAACCAACAATGTCGCAAAAGTATAAATTTGTTTAAAAAGAATAAATAACGTAAATATCAAATATATACACAGTTGTACACAAAATACACCAAATTCTAAATTTTAAAAATAAAATTAAAAAATTTCAAAAATATACGTTTCAAAGTTCGAATAAAAAAAAAGTAAAAATAATTTGACTTACAGTTTTATCATGCAGAACCAACTCGAGATAGGATTTGTATGTGCTGCCCCAGTCTTGGAAAAACATTCTTACAATTCAAACTTTAAGCATAGGTCTATTAAACATACTAACTTGTTTGATTAAGCCAAATCCTTGGTTCATTATTTTTTACTGAAAGACTGATTGGGGATTTTTTGTTCGCAAGATGTTGAAAGTGACGAAGACGCTGCTGAGTATTTTGAGATTTATAATTTATAATTGTTAGAATAGATACAATAGTTGTTATTATTTTGATGAAAAACTCTCAAAATACGGAAATCGGATTACATTTAGAGAAACAAATCAAAAAGATTTTTCATACAATCAGATAATTTTTTTTTTTTTTT